TTGAGCTTGTTTGTTTGTTGAAGTTGATTTTTGAAAAAAAAGGGACACATAAGAGATTTTTTTCCTTCACTCTGCACCCTTTTAATYCAGGGTAGAGTTTACTTTGTTTTTTAATGCTGCACATATTGTTTTATTCTCATGAATGAAAGAAACAGACATCTCTTAATATACAGTATTTTGACAAGGCAAAATACCTATTTAAGATATCTCTAATTATATTCTGAAATAATATTAGATATATCATTAGGTTAAATGGAGACTCCAGTTCAAGATATCTTACAGTAAATGTATCTTTAGCTATGAGATTCACTACATAATATTTAATTAATGCAAATTTCAGACTTTTTCCATGTTCTGTAAATTGTACTTAAAACAAAGCTGCTGCTGTTGATCATTCTGTTTTCATAAGCAGTCCTCCCAAGTAAAATATGGGAAACACTGGAAAGGTCTAAAAAAGCTTATTGAAGATCTTTTTGATAATAGAATTCACTTAAAACCATGTTAATATTTTTGTTGTACAAAATAGAAGGTGAGTCGCGTAAATTTCTGTTTTCATAAAACAAGTAGCATTAACACAATTCCTATAGTTATTTAAAGTATTTAAAGTTTATTAAGAAAATGCACCTTTTTCATCTGAAGGGTTGGGATCAGTGCTGGGTGGAGATGAGGTTTCCTCTGGGGTTACTTCCACTGCTCCATCTGTCTCTTCATTACCAGCTAACATCTCATCGAGGCTCTTCAGCTCCTCGGAGATCTGCTCTACTTTACGTTTCGTGTCCGCTGGGAATGGACAGACCGGGGGTGGGGGGGTGCAGTCAAACATTTTATTTTTAATTTAAACAATGGAATAAATCGACTGATTTTCACAGCATCAGCCAGTTTTGTCCATTAAACACAATTCCAACTACTTAAAAAGCACACTTGCTTTTATAACGGTAAATAAATAAAATAAATAAATAATGCTTCGTTACTGTCGCAATTGAAGGGGCTTTCTTCTAACAATTGATGGAAGATTTACGCTGTGGGGTTTTTTCTTTCGGAATGCTGGAACAATTTAAACTTTAGCTTCACTCACAAACTTGAGCCTTGACGTAATCCATGTACTGTTGGGCACTTAATGCCGGCTGGCACACAATCCCCTGTGGCTTGGCAGTGGAGGGGGGCTGCAGGAAGGGATGCTGGCAGGTGCGACTGGTGTGAATCGTCAGCACATAACGACATGACTGAGGTTCATCGACCCGAGCGATGTAGTCACTCGAGCCTTCTTCACACACGAACTGGGAAAAACAAAATGAAACAGATCTCAGTATGAGTTTAGGACACAAGTGTTTCAAAATCTTGATTTGCATATAACCATTTCACTGCTACTGATGAGTCAGCAGTTTTGCACAGAAAATAAKAATTTGAATTAGCAAAACAAAACTTTAAAAAAATACAAAGTCCTGTAATCAAACATCTCACCCGGACTTCAGTCTCTCTTGGATTTCCATTTAGGTCACACTTGGAGCCATTTACATATGTCTGGCTGTGGTACCGTTTCAGTTTGTGCTGTTTGGAGGCCTGCAAAATGATTAAAAACAAAAGTGATTTCTTCTATTCTTAGACAATTACGTATCACTGCATTGTGTTTTTAAGCTATTAATATGATCATAAAATTAATAAATCATAAAGCAATAAAATAAAAAAGCTTCTGAGTACATTCTCTAAAATCATTGAGGGGACAATCGTGCAATTAGATCAACTTTACCTTTGCTGTTTCATTGTTCCAATCAAACTCCGACTCAAAATAGCCCAAAAAAAGGATATCTCCTTTAATTTCTGATTCTAAAAAATAAAAATAACAAAACAAGTCATAAAGAAAACAGCTGTTTAAATTGTGTTTTACAAGTTCTTCTTGACTTGTCAATTGAAAACACAAGTACAAAAGAGTTAAAGAAAGAAGAAATTAATTTATTTTACCTTCTAGGTGATACTGCCTAATATGCTGCCCATGACAAAACTCGTAAGTCCACCAGTCCTTCGTCTGCAAAAGACAACAAATAATGTATCAGTTCAAACTATTTTGTAAGAATCAAAAAAAACACAAAAAGTTCTGCTAGTTTCATTTAATCAAAAAAGTTTTACASTTTAGTTTTATGCTATGCGAGTTGTTTAACTGCTATAAAATCTTGTGGCAAATGCAAGATAGTGTGTTTCACTCAGTGAACAGTAAAAAAACAAAAATCTAATTATACATTGGTCAAAACATTTGAGGATAACTTCCAGGTCTAAAAACCACATTCATGCTAAATTGTAATTACTACTCTGTGACGACCCTGCTCCTGAGCATTATTGCTCRCAGGTGCGTCTTGTTATTGTGCTTCCCTTTCAGGTCAGCTGGAGGCGCAGTCCTGTGGCCCAGGCCGGTTAAAAGGAGTCAGCGTGAAAGCGACAGGAGGCTTGCAGAAGGGTGCAACAAGGAACACGGCTGCTGAGGAGGCAAGCTGATGCTGATGCTGTGCTGTGACTGCTGAGGTGCTCAGGGAACTGTGTGAGGCTGCATCGATCTACAATGGAGCTGCGTGTCGTGCAGAGCTGAGTGAAAGGCTGGAGCTGTTGATGTGCGGTTGCTGGTGTCGTCTGGGTAGAAGCGGCGGCGAGGTGAATCAGCTCTCCGTCTGGTCGAGCTGATTAGGACACAGCTGTGGAGCTGCAGAGGACGCCGACTCAAGTTTGGAGCTGGTCACACAGGAGAAGAGACGACGACTACGGGCGTGAACGATTATTGTGAGCTACGAAGCTTACAGGGAGCACGACTGGAAACAAGGAGGTGTTCGGTTGGACCTGATTTGAGAGGCAGAGTTAACTCTGACCCACACAGACTTTGGTGTGGTCCAGGTAGGGCTGCCACGATTAACCGATTAATCGACGACTAATCGATTATTAAAATAATCGATGACTAATTTAATCGATTAATCGTTTTCTTTTTTTTTGTTCTTTACTTTGTTTTTCTCTCCAAACTGCTTTGACACCTTCCACTGCCACATCTGCCTTTCTGTCCTTGACACACATGCACAGTAGTGGTAACTGGGGTAGGCCATGGACGTCACAAGACATTATACAGACAGGCTCTGGTATCATGGCTACCTGGTAACAGAGCTCAAAAGTGTGGGATCATTTTAAGAAAATGAAAGAGAAACCTGTGCAATATCTGTAGCGCAGAACTTACCTTCCACAACAATTATTTTTAGTTAACATATAGCTAAAATCTAACGATGGTTATATAATAGCAGCTGCATTCTGACGTGATAAGCTGTATGTTTTATATTCAATTAACGTATGATCCGATTAGTCGACTAATCGAAAAAATAATCGGTGATTAATCGATTATAAAAATAATCGTTTGTGGCAGCCCTAGGTCCAGGTGGTGRGAACCTTCACAACACAAACTCCTAGACACTTTCTAAATGCCTTTTAAGGTTTCAAACTGGCTTTCCTGTGTTGTGTTCTCATTCATGTTGTGGCTTTGAGAGCCAAGGTCATTACATACYTAAAAACTGGTTAAAACTACCTATCTTTATTTTGAAAAAGTACACTGAACTATTCTGAAAATAGGTCACATACAGCAGTTAAACAATCCAAAGTGCTGCTGATAAATTATGCATTTAGTGTTCTAACAATCAGTTATTTGTCTAAAAATGTCAACATGTTTTTCAATTAAAGGCTTTTGGTACAGGTTGTAAGGAAAGGCTTTTGGTACAGGTTGTAAGGAAAAGCTTTTAATTGGCTTAAACCTCTAACAATGAGATCATAAACAGAGCGAGAGAACCAACCTTAACCAGGCATGGGGCTTCGTGCATTGGTTTGAGCAGGTCTGGGATGTCTGGTCCAGTGTAGCCCTCTGAGTCGGGTTCAGAAGCTGGATCGTGGTGAAACCTGACTGCCTGAGCTGGAAGTCGACACTCATACAGCTGCTTGTACTTGTTGGACACCATCATGACCTCCTCTGTCTTAGTCTGAAAAACAAAATATTGTGATGAAAACTCAAACTCAAGTCAAGTAAACTCAAGTAGTCCGTTTAAATGGTATTAGTGACATAAATACAAAGTTGTACATACATATGACATGGGTAGTTAACCTGTTTTTACTTTTGGACTAGCACATGTCGTATTAAATAACAAGAGAATAAGTGAGATATAATTGTGTTGACAATGTTGACAGCTGTCACATTATGTCACAAGCAACTTCTGCCTTTTACCTTAACGCGTCATATACGATTTGATACATTTCTAAGTAACTTGCGATATAACATGTTACTCTTAATTTTAATTTTGAAATTAGATTATACGAAGAAATAAGTCAATAGCGAACTGATAACTGCACTGTAGCCAGCATTCTAGCTAACAAGCTACATGTTACCGTCTAAAAGCCCCGACTCACCTGCCCTAAGATGACGGGGTCAGGAAGAATTTGAATCCCATATTTCATTTCGTTTAGCTCTTCCAAATTCAAGAAGGCCGGTACACACAGGGGGCATATCAACACAAAAAGGCACAATCTCTTGAGCCACCGCACCGAGGAGGTAGCCATCGCTAAACTCTTTGCTCTCCGGCAATAGCAGAAAAACACAGTGTCTGACATGGTACAAGCCGATTGGTCGGCAGAAGAAACTCTGCTCTGTTATTGGCTAATTATTGAGTCCATCAACGATTTGCCAGTTCTGGGGTACGTTGGTTCATTGTGTACGTGGACAGATTAAGTGGGCGGTATATATTACTTGGAACACCAAACAACGTCCGTATTGTTTGTGTCATRAAAACAAACGCACCCTTCCACCGCCTGGTTAGGTGGGAAAAAAATATATAAATAAAAAGCCTGGTTGGGTGGGGCGTGTCTAATTGAAATTAACAGCTAATTTTCTTGCATTCATTTTTTAATTAGTAGTTTCTTATTTTTCTTAAAATGTTTGAAGGGTTGTGTTTTTTACAGGAGAAAAATAAATAACTTAAATTGAATAAAAACTATCAAGGTTTAAACTGTTACTGAAACAAAAATAGGCTACAGCAGTGAATGCACCAGTCACATCTACTCATAAGCAGGGCGTTATTGCCTGAATATATATTTTTTTTAAAAGTACACTGGTTGTTTGTAGCTGCGAAGAAAAAAAAGAATAACAATAGGTTTGCTCGGTGGTGCGGGGGTCTGCTCGGTAACACCGAGTCTCCGGTTGGTTTGAAGGTGCGCTGCAGCCGCTGCTGCTGCAGGGGGAGCATCCGTCCACAGCGTGCTGCGCTGCGATGTGCATCCTCCTTTCTGTCGGCCTCCGCTCCCCTTTTTCTCTCCTAATCCCATCTGCAAGGCGTCTGAGGAGGATCATACTCGCCACGGAGCTCCTTTCAGGAGGGAGGTGACAGCTCGTCTTAAAAAGAGGTGAGCTGCCAGCTCATGTGATTTTTTTTCTATAATTAGCCTCTGAGTTTAAAACGGAGGCAAGAAAAAGGGCCTGTCCCCAGCAGGGCTTTCTTGTCGGGATTTCCAGCTCTGGGTGAAGACTGAACATTTTCGTTGCTCAACAAGAGATTAAGGGAAAAACGTGTTTTATTATTATTATTTTTTTTAATTACAACAGTGAATCTGGATTAAATATCTAAACAAGAAGGTAACTGGTTTTATCCATCATCAGAGGCGTGCGTTGGACTGATAATCAAGCTTTAAATGGATGCTTTCCCCCTGCAGTGTTATCCACTAAGGTAGGCTGATGGGCCTCTGTGTGCATTCTGGCATTTCAGCCCGCTGTTTCAGAGAGCCGGAATGAGGGCTGCATATTTTCCACATTTTAATCAAGGATGCAGGAGAGTGTGGGATGGGAAAATGGTCCAATATGTTGACTTTGAATGGTCGCAGATGAGTTCTGTCACTTTGGGAGGGACCATAGGATGTTTTTGTATTCTCGGATTGGTTTGTAATGACTGTCTCTTACCTGAAGACTTTTTCATTTCCTCATTACAAAATCTAAGGTTGTAGGGATAGTATTTTTTTAAATCAGCATTTATAATTAGTGCATTGTTTTCATGGTGTGTTTTAGAAAGGACCAGCTGAAGGATGCTGAGTGAAGCTTAATGGAAGTGAACCTTCCAGATTAATTTGCAGCATCCATTCTTGGGTTCGTTAAGTGTGTTCACTAACACACTTATGAAAAGCAAACTGACAAATGGTGCACAGAGAAAAAGCATTTTTGTATGAACATTGAATTTCAAACATTTTATCAACATTTATTCAAAGTGTTTGTACATTTCTTTATTTTCCTTTTGTTCTATGTTAATCTTGATTTTCTGGACGGGTTCTTCTCTAATGAAACGTTTCGTCTCTCCTCCAAGAGACTTCTTCAGTCTGAGAGTTTCAGGCTAAATTCAGGCTTTTAAGCCCTGCCTCCGTGTGACTGATACTCACATCACATGGCTATCGTTGACACCTAATTAACACTTATTG